TGGTGCGCCTGCCGGAAGTGCGGAGCGACGTTGACGCCTGGCCGGATCGCTCCCTTGCAGTACAAGCACATGAGAACGCGCGCCGGCTCGTACAGCCAGACAGCCGAGTCCGTGATCTCTGGTGCTGCCATTGTTTGTCTTTTCACGAGTCTGTTATCGCGTCCGTATTGTATGTAGTTCTGTGATTTCTCGCGCTTGCGACTTAGCATTTCACATCTATATCTATTCTATCTAGCTGTTCCGGCCATCTACCCTCGTACCTACCTGACCTGACCACCCCTGCGTAGTCCTCTCCTCCTCGTATCTCCTGCCGCGTCGCGTGGCTTGCTTTTTCATTTCTCTTCCTACATAGCGCGCCCGTTTAACCTTTTCTATGTACCCTGGCCTGGCGATATCGCCCGCTCCCCTGGCTGCGGCTGCTGTAATGCGTGCCGCGTGCACGGGCCCGGGGGCGCTGGCCGGAGTTGGGGTTTAGCCTGGGGGTTAGCAGTTAACCCCCAGCCGTTTTGGCTGCGCGGAACCTGACTGCGTTGGGGTAAGGGAACTTGACTGCGCCGGCCCGTGCCACCCCGGCTTGGCCCGAGCTCCCCACCGGGAACTTGACTGCGCCAGCCAAGTTCCGCCGGCAATAATGGTTAGGGCTGCCACTTCTCGGAGCTGAAAATCTCCGTGGTTCCAGAAGCCACCGGCACCTGCAACACCTATTGAGAAGCGGATTCATGCCGGGGTGCGATGGTGGCTTCTGATAATCTGGTCGCTTCCTTCTAGTGTCTGTGCATGTGATAGCTGAAAAAGCCTTGGAATTCCAACAACAGACCAGCCTAGGTGTTGGAATTGTAATAGCACGACAGGTGTGGGTGAGCAATCGCGGCTCACATAGGTCCCCGTAAGGCCCAAAACGGGCTTCTTCTGCGTCTCCGGGATTTTGACATCGTCAAACGAAGACTGGCTCCATTCGACTGCTCTGATATTGGTGACAGCAAACTCCACTGTGATTTATAAGCAACATGTCGCCCTGGTGGGGAAGATAAGCGTACGAAATGCTTTGCGGTCCAGCCTAAAGCCAAAGACCGTCGGACTGCAAATGAGGAAGTCGCCTTCTTCAAGATGATCTGGGTGGTCCTCTCACGGCTAGTAAGACAGCCATATGCCTCTTGCCAAGGGCCTATAGACTGTGTCGCCCTCAGGAGGCTATGTGCGAAAGCGGTGTGTGTGCCGCCACTATCACAACTCGCACTTGGTCACTACGTGTGGCGCATCGCCTCCAGCGCCTCCGATGCTGTCTCTATCCCCTGCGTCATGGGCCTATACACGGGCGTCAACTCTGTAGTGCTACAGTATGTGCGTCTCTCTGCGTGCCACCTAGGACACAGGGCGAGGACGACGATCGGTTCTAGACCATGACGATAGAACCGAAGATGACGGCCATGGAACCGTCCTTCACCCCTTTACAACTTCCTTCGGCTGGCTGAAAGAGCGGAGGCTTGCGCATCTGACCACAGTATGCAAACAGCCCAGTGGCCAATTTTAGTGCACTTTGATCTAGATGTGTGGGTGCCAAGCCTTCAGCCTTTGCAATGCCGAAGCCCCCTTTCTCAAGTATGTCCCTCCCTACTTTAGTACCTACCAATGCTACTCTGTCTGGAGAGAAGAAGTCACCTCTTCCTTTGCTTTGACGCCTTGAGCACAGCCAACTTGGAAGTCGCCGGCTCACTAATGGTATGTCAAGCCGTCTACGAACATTGCAGCTTGGCGGCTGAAACCTCAACTGCGTGGGTAGGTTCTGCGGATTAAGCAAATCATGAAGCTGGCAGACCGGTGGCTTGACGTGCCGCCAGGTAGAAGGAGTTTCCCATAAAACTACCCTTCTCACGGAACTCGAACAAGGCCAGCGGAGCCCACTGCCGCACCAAGATGTGATTGGTCGTCTCGATGTCATGTACTTTGTTAGACCCGCATTTAGGCTTGCCAAGAGGGCCCTGAGACATCTCGATGACATGCATTCCAGTGAAATGCCATCCAATGAAATGCTATCCCAATACCATCCGGACTTACTCTCACATGTATCAGTATTCCGATGGACACGTAGCCCCCTTGCAGGACTACCTAGGTTTTCTTGTACAACTCTGTTCCTTGATTTTGGGGCTAAGTCACCTTAGCGCCAAGGGCTGAAAAGAAAGCATGTAAGACAGTGTGATGTAATTCGTGTCAGCCCTACGGACAGCCACACTGCTCCGTTTGGCTCGGAAAGGAAAGATCGGCACATATCGATCAATCATAAGACGGTAGCTGCCAATTACAGTCCACTATGCCACACCCTCTCCAAATGTGTTTCAGCCAGCTGTGTTCTCGCGTTCTTCATCCCAGAGTCTCGTGAAAGGTCCGTCAATGGCTCGTTTTCTTTTGCGCCAACAAAGGTATGAAAACCAGACTGGGTACAAGGTGCAAAGTCCCCTTCACCAGAGCCCAGAAATCGTCATTGGCTACTGGGTTTCTCTCCTCTCCATTTGCCACAAGAAAAACATCTCGATCTTGTCTGACAGAATGGCAAGGACGGAATGGGATGACAAGCCATGAGAAAAAAGGCCAGAGCGACAAAAACATCCCGGGGACAGCAGGTATTAACGTTAGATCTCAAGCCAGTCACCGGCCCGCAATGGAAACTGGTGACTGCTTTGCGCACCAATTTCCTGTCGGCACTGCTCGTCTTCGCACTCTTCACCCTCAACCATGTGACGAATACGCCGATTCCCTTCACGTGGGCGGGTGGATTCCGCGTCACTGCTCCCGCTAGGCATCCCGACTCCCCATGTACGGCGACAAAACTCAGCATCATGCTCAGCCGATAGAAAGTAGCTTTATGCGAAACCTCGGGGCTGAGGCTTTTACTCGGCTACAACTAGTGTTCCTCCAATTTGCATGTGAATGACCCCCCATGATTTCTCTCGACTTCCTTAACGAATACTTTAAATTACCCCGAAACCATGGGTATGACAACTACACCAGGCATTCGCAGATTAAATCGACCAGAACATGGGCGTCTTTGCACATGTAAGACATGTCCAATAGCGTGGGCATGCTGCGAGGACTTAAATGCACCAGCACACTTTTGAGGGGCATCGAGACTTGGGCTTCCGTATTCGCTGCAGTTGTAAGACACTGACCATTTGCACGCGCCGCAGATCCGTCGATGAACATTGTGGACCCAATGTATGCTCAGCCAGCGTCAGGCAAGAGGTCTGAGCCACACGGATGTGGGCAAACCAGTTCCAGAAAGAAGCATAAACATCGATGGAGTAAAACTTATCCGAACGACGAGGAATGCAAAAAAGAGTCCTACGTTCTGCCGGCGGTCAGGGAAAGGGCCTCCCCGTGGAGCGATGGCTTGCAATGTCTTCCAGCCGCAGAGCTCTGCTCCGCAGACCGAGTTTGTACCGGCCCACGTTGGAATTGGTCCGCGAGAACTTGGTGGCGCTGGTTGACACAAATTCCAGCACTAAAATTGTGCGCATCGTGTGGCTTTGTTGACCCCTTGGACCAAGGACCGCCTGTCAGTCAATGGTTCTGCGCCACCTCATCTAGTCGACCTCGTCGTGCGCCGGTGCGAACCGCTGAAACCGTTTGCCATTATAGTGGATGTTTGCCGGATCATGGCTGTGTTCTCGGAACCCATCTGGGCCGTGAGTCGCCAAGATCTGCTTCTGTCACCACACCCCTCTACCTTCCGACCTTCGGCGCGCTGGCTTGGTGGCTGCGGAAAACCCCGAAGGCGTGCATATCGAGGACGCTCTCTCTCTTCTCACTGGGTGTTACAACACCACTTTGCCGTCTCGTGGTCGCCGACATTGTCAACCCAGGTGGCCGACGCCGTCCACGGATCCGTGTTGAAGTTGTCGTCGCCTTTCGAACTGTCTAGTAGGCGTTGGGGGTCTCTCGCTGGGAAGCAGTGAAAGGAACACAACCCTGTCATCGGCTGCCCTGGGGGTCTATTCTAGGGATCTCGCGCCCATCTTTGGGCCCAAACCCTCTGCCAGTGGGGGGAAGGGAGGTCGGTCCAACACAGCCCTACGGTATACCGCCTAGAGACACATGTTCCCAACCCTCCGAATAGCCGGTCCAGAGGGACCACACCCGAGCCGTGTCACACCACCGGCTCTCGCCTTCGTGCTGCCCCACCAGCCACCAAGACATCCATCCCGACTCTTTGGATCTCCGCACCTTCTCTGGCTCTTACTGGCTGGCACACCCCCAGATCCCCACTGCCCTCGCCAACATGTCTGGCACTCCACCCTAAACCCGGCCGGCAGCCGCCTTGTTGGTGTGGGCAGTGCTGATCTGCTTGGGGTTGGAAAGATCTTAGCAATGCTCATCAAGCTATGGGAAGGTTGGTGTGGCCCTGCTGGTCGACGGCGGCGGCAGGTAGCCTGCAGCCAGGGTGCTCAGCTTCGCTCAGCAGCACCCCCCTCTACCCTTCGTGCAGCAGAGCCTACATGCAAGAGGCATGCTCCATCTCGTCGGGGTATGTCCTGTCGCATTTTCGTCCTGACAAGTCCCAACCCCTCCCTTTCAGCCCGATCCCTGATACTTGGACCGCGGGAGAGCATGCCGTGGCTTGGCCAACCCCATTGCAACGCAGTCCCGAGCTGTGCTTGAGCGTTCGTCCATGATGCTTTGCTCCGGTGCCCGAATAAATACAACCGGCAGCTGGAGCTGGCTGCATCAGGACCTGCCATCACACTCCCCCTCCATCTTCTCCTCCCCCTCCATCTTCTCCTCCCCCTCCATCTTCTCCTCCCCCTCCATCCCCTCCTCCCCCTTCCCCCTCATCGCTCCTAGATCGAGCTCCCGCTGCTTTGGACGTTGCTTGACCCAAGCCGTCTTCTGCTTCCCCCTCCCGCCTGGTCATCGCCGTTGTACTTGCATTGTTGGGTTCCTGGGCTGTTTTGTCTCATACTTGACCCGCCCCATTGGGCGTGACACATACCCGCGTCCCCGCGAGCATGGCTGCGCTTCTCCTAACGTGTGCTCTAGCCGTTGTCGTTCAGGTTTTCCGCTTCGACCCTGCCTACGTCGACTATAATCTCAACCAGAACAAGGATGCTGTAGATCCCCTTGACTACTCGGCCGAACGACCAGGCCATACATACTTCCCGTCACCCAGCGACTGGCGATTTCCTTTCTACACCCTCTTCCTTGACCGGCTCGCCAACGGCGACCCAACCAACGACGACATCAATGGCACCGTCTACGAGCAGGATATTACGAGCAACCAGTTGCGGCATGGCGGCGACCTGCGGGGTCTTGTTGACAGTCTGGACTACATTCAGGGCATGGGCATGAAGGTCAGAGCCTAGCCTGTGCACCGTTTCTCTGTTTGGAGCACAACCCCACTGACACTCTCCCAGGGCATCTACATCGCTGGGTCACCATTCATCAATCTTCCATGGGGTGTCGACTCCTACTCGGTGAGCTCCTGATGTTGATGGGTTGACAGTTGCCCCCACGCCTCTTACTGACGCCATCCCAGCCCGTCGATCTGACTCTTCTCGACCTCCACTATGGAACAATACGGGAATGGCAGGACATGGTTGACGCGGTCCACAAGAGGGGGATGTACGTGATGATTGATCATACCATGTCAACGTGAGTCTCCCATGATGTGAGGGCCAATGGCCATGTCCGGCTGACGTCAGGTGCCCGTTGCAGCATGAGCGATCTCCTTGCGTTCAAGGGCTTCGAAAATATCACAGCCACCTTCCAGGTCGAGGAACACAACGTGAACTACAAAGGCTCTCGGCAGTATCTCGACTTCCAGCCGTCCAATGTATACCTGGAGAAGTGTGATTATCCGAGATTCTGGGACGTCACTGGCAAGCCTGTGGGGCGGGATGTCACCGATCTTTTCAAGGGCTGCTATAACAGTGACTTTGACCAGTATGGCGACATCGAGGCTTTTGGCGTTTTCCCAGACTGGCAGCGTTCCCTGGCCAAGTTCGCCAGTGTGCAAGACCGCCTCAGAGAATGGAAGCCATCTGTGCGGAACAGGATTGCTCTCTTTTCATGTCTCAGCATCATCATGCTCGACGTTGACGGGTTTCGCTTCGACAAAGCCACACAGATTACCGTGGACGCACTGGCAGACCACAACGAAGCTGTTCGCGCATGCGCCAAGCGGCTTGGTAAGGATAACTTCTTCCTGCCAGGCGAGATTAGCGGCGGCAATGCCTACGGTTCCGTCTATCTCGGCAGAGGCCGGCAGCCAGACATGCTGCCAGAGTCACCGGCCCACGGGATGAACTTGACGACCAAGATACTCAGTGATGTGAAGAACTTGACGATCCGAGACGGGGGTAAAAATGCGCTCGACTCGGGGGCTTTCCACTATTCCACCTACCGCTACCTTACTCGGTTCGTGGGTCTCAGCGGAAATCTCGAGGCGGGCTTCGATGCCCCTAGCAACTGGGTCAACATGTGGAACCATTTTGCCTTGACCAACGACTTTGTCAATCCGAACACCGGTCTCTTTGACCCGCGCCACATGTACGGAACCATGAACCAGGATGTCTTTCGGTGGTCAGGCATCACCCAGGGAACCGAACGAATGATCCTCGGCTTCTTCATCACGACGTTGCACCTGCCTGGCATTCCGCTAGTGTTCTACGGTGAGGAGCAGGAGTTTTACGTCCTCGACAGCACGGCCGACAACTACATATTCGGACGGCAAGCCTTCACGCCCTCGCAGGCATGGATGATGCATGGCTGCTACGCGGGAAACAGTACGCAGTACATCAATTGGCCAGTTGACAGCGCGAGGCGCGGATGCGAAGACCCGAAGAACGCCCTTGACCATCGCGACCCATCGCATCCTGTTCGCAACATCATGAAGTCCATGTATGCCATGCGAGATAACTACGGTACCTTCCGTGATGCTTGGCTGCTACAAACCCTTGGCAACCAAACCGAGTTCGTGCTCCTCGAAGGAAGCAACGAGACCTACACCGAGTTTGGAATATGGTCTGTTGTTCGCGCCTACCAGCCGACAGTTCAGGGGCAGTTCGCATCCGACCCGATTTGGCTCGTGTACCACAACCGAAACGAAACCACCGACTACACATTCGACTGCAGGGAGGAGATGACGGCCTTCTATGCCCCGTTCGACCAACGAGCCACGGTCAAGAACCTGTTCTATCCCCACGACGAGATCACGCTGGGAGACTCGAACAAACACTTTGGTTTTGCACGCTCCGAAGAAAACACTGGCTGCCTCTCCAAGATTACCATGAAGCCGTTTGAATTCCGGGCTTACGTGGAAACAAAGAACTTTGTCGGGCCCCCGCCCATGATCACCAAGTTTACCCCCGGTCACGACGCTGCGCTCAACGCCGACGAGATCAAGGGCTCGGTCGACATCTCTCTCGAGTTCTCCGCGGAGATGGGATGCGGCAGCGTTCAGGACGCGATCAAAATCACATCCACCGTCGAGTCCGGCGGGGAAGTGAAGCTGACGCAGCCAAAGTGCGCTAGGATGACTGAGACGCAGCCAACCAAATACGTTGGTTCCATCCCCTCGAGATGGCGTTTCACCGCCACACTGACTAACGTCAACGATGGCATCCATGAGATCATCGTCGACAAGCCTCTTGCGGTGGCTGGCGACTCAACGAGCGCTGTCGACCATTTCTTCCTCCGGGTTGGAAAGCCGAATAACCCAGTTGTGTTCCCAGGCTCGGCCAATTATTCCACCACCCTGGTGACGAAGGAGGGCAACGATCTTTTCGTCAACCACGCCGCTGCCGGTGCGGATAAGTGGCGCTATTCCACCAATTGGGCGTCCTCGTGGAGCCCGTGGGTTGACTACAAGGGAGGCAAGGACAAGATCTCGAACCTACCTTGGTCTGGCACTCCGCTCCAGGGGTGGGAGGGGGACCACGTCAAGGTTCAGTACTGGTCGAAGAAGCTGGGAAGCAGCTCTTTCAGGCAAGAGGGCGACGACAAACCCCAGAAGGAACGCCGATTCCCTCATGTCTTTGCTCACGGCCAGTTCAACAAGTTTGGGTTCGACTCTGGGCTCAAGAATCAGCTCGCCTTGACCGGCGACGGAAAGTGGGAGCTCCACCTGATGGCCGAGTGGCCCACCATGTTCCAGCTCAACATATGGGGCATGAATCCCGACCAAAAGCCGGACGCCGGCTTTGTGTATGGCGATGTCGAGGGCGATGGCATTGTTGACCGAATGCCGCCCTCCTCGCTTGTGCTCAATGTTCTCAATGCCACCCACCCTCCCCCGATGCCGGCTCTCTCGTACAAGCTGTTCTTTGACGATAAGACGATGCGATTCACAAAGGAGCCGCAAGGAAACATGTGGATCCAGATCATCATGTTCATCCTAATGGCGACTCTCCCTATTGTTGGCGGGCTCACGGCTGTTTGGATTTTCATGGGCTCCTTCTACAAAGTCAAGGTCAATAAGATTGGCTTCAAGAAGCGCGGCCGGTCGCCGTTTGGCAATCTGGCCAACGGTCTGAGCACCGTCTCCTTCGAGAACTTCCGCCACAAGAACGAAGCCGGGATGGAGCTTGCTGGTGTTCCTGGCAAGCGCAGAAAGGTGATCATCGCAACCATGGAGTACAACATTGACGACTGGAACATCAAGATTAAAATCGGTGGTCTCGGCGTCATGGCGCAACTCATGGGCAAAGCTCTTGAGCACCAGGACCTGATCTGGGTGGTTCCCTGCGTCGGTGGCATCGACTACCCCATTGACCAGCGTGCGGAGCCCATGTATGTCCCCATCATGGGCAAGGAGTACGAGATCGAGGTGCAGTACCACCAGGTTCAGAATATTACCTACGTGCTGCTGGACGCACCCATCTTCCGCCAGCAGTCCAAGGCCGATCCGTATCCGCCGCGAATGGACGACATCGATTCCGCCATCTACTACTCGGCCTGGAACTACTGCATCGCCGAGACCATTAGGCGGTTCGACCCGGATCTGTACCACATTAACGACTACCACGGCGCAGCGGCTCCTCTCTACCTGCTCCCAGATCGGACGATCCCCTGTGCCCTGTCGCTCCACAACGCCGAGTTCCAGGGCATGTGGCCGATGCGGAACCCGGAAGAGTCGAAGGAGGTCTGCGAGGTGTTCAATCTGGATTCCGAGATTGTGAAGGAGTACGTCCAGTTCTGCACCGTCTTCAACCTTCTCCATGCCGGAGCCAGCTATCTGCGCGTCCACCAGAAGGGCTTTGGTGCGGTTGGAGTTTCGAAGAAGTACGGTGATCGCTCGTACGCTCGGTACCCCATCTTCTGGGGTCTGTCCAAGATCGGCCAACTGCCGAACCCCGATCCTAGCGACACCGCCGAGTGGTCGAGAGACGAGGAGGTTCAGGAGAAGGACGTGGTTATTGATCTCGAGGCAGAGTCCAAGCGCGGCGACTTCAGAAAGCAGGCTCAGGAATGGGCAGGCCTGGAGATCAACCCTAATGCCGAACTCTTCGTCTTTGTTGGGCGATGGTCGCTGCAGAAGGGCGTTGATCTGATCGCCGACATCGTCCCGCCCATTCTCGAGAAGTATCCCAACACGCAACTGATCGCCATTGGCCCCGTGATCGACCTCTACGGCAAGTTCGCCGCTCTCAAGTTAGCCAAGCTCATGGAGCGCTATCCGAAGCGCGTGTACAGCAAGCCCGAGTTCACCTCTCTCCCGCCCTACATTTTCACGGGTGCCGAGTTCGCCCTCATCCCCTCTCGCGATGAACCGTTCGGTCTTGTCGCTGTCGAGTTCGGTCGAAAGGGAGCTCTCGGCGTGGGGGCTCGCGTCGGCGGTCTTGGTCAGATGCCCGGTTTCTGGTACACTGTCGAATCGACCGCGCCGCAGCATCTTTTGCACCAGTTCCGTGAAGCCATAGTTGGTGCATTGGAGTGCAAGCCGAAGACGCGGCAGAAGATGCGAGCATGGAGCGCAAAGCAGAGATTTCCTGTCGCCCAGTGGGTCGAGGACCTTGACATACTGCAAGGCGAAGCGATCCGTCTTCACAACAAGGAGGCCAAGAAGCGCAAGAGGGTCTCAGCCGGCTCGATGCTCACGGTGCCTTCGGGAGCTAATCTTGGTGGGGGTAACAGCAGCCGCAACTTCTTTGACGATTCCGACGTGGAGACGCCCCGTCAGTCCATGTCGCGCTCGCGGGCGTCGAGTCTCGCCGTTCCCTTCATCACAGAGACCGACCACGATGAGGACGACAGCAGACGCCGTTCTTCGTCGAACCCCTTCTACGATCAGCCGGGCTCGGGGACACCGCCTCTGCCGACAATGTCAGGCACTCCGCCGGCTCCTCAACAATTCGCTCCGCCCAATCCCATGTTTGCCAACCAATCCGCCATGTCGTCTGTGAGCCGTCTCATGACCATCGCGGCCAACGACCCGAACCAATCTCGCCTGAGCGTCGACACGCTTGCCATGCGGATGATGTCGCCCGATGGGTTCGACGCGCAGCCGCACGCCTTTGGCATCTACAACAACCCCCGGGCTCGTCCCGGTGGGCTTGAGATGTACCAAAACCGCAACCGCAACAGCTCGGGCCTGTCGGTTGTCGATGTGGTCGGCGATCGCCACGACTTCAAGCTCCAAAACGTTGACCCGTTCTTCACCGACAACACCGGCGATTACTACAAGGCCTTTGAGGACAAGCTGGCAGACCTCAACTCCAAGAACTCGGAGACGGATCTGTGCATTGACGACTACCTCAAAGCGAGCGAGAAGCAGTGGGCCAAGGACTTCCGCGAAGCCAAGCTGGGGCGCGAGAGAAGCCCCAGCCGTAATAGGGATTCGGCGCTGCTGATCAAGAGGAACAGACAATCCATGGCACCCAGCATGATCAGCGTCGATACCATCGCGCCGTCCGAGGATGAAGACTACCACGACGAGAACCAGCCCGGATCGGGCGGCCGCGATGACGAGTTTCTCCTCGGCGAGGGATACAAGCCTCCCACGGGTCTCAAGAAGATCCTCTCCATCCGTATTGGCGATTGGCCTGTCTACTCCTTCATCCTTGCGCTCGGCCAGATCATCTCGGCCAACTCGTATCAGATCGTCCTGTTGGCGGGAGAGGCGGAGCAGACGGCCAGCCAGCTCTACACCATTGCTGGCACCTATGCAGTCACCTCCATCCTGTGGTGGTTCATGTTCCGTCGGTTCACCGCGCTGTACGCCCTCTCGCTGCCCTGGTTCTTCTACAGCCTCGCGTTCATGATGCTGGGCGTGACCCCTTTCCTGCCCGAGCATGCCCGGGGCCCCGTCCAGAACACGGCATCAGCAATGTACGCGGCCGCTGCCTCGAGCGGCGCCCTGTTCTTTGCCCTCAACTTTGGAGATGAAGGTACGCACTGACTGACCCCCCCTCCCCGTTGCGCATGCATGCTGACCCGTCCAGGTGGCGCACCAATCATGATCTGGATCTTCCGCGCCGCCGTCATCCAGGGCATCCAGCTGCTTTACAACGTCGGTCTGTGGTTCTGGGGCAGCCTCATCACCCAGCAGAACGGCGTCGGCCTCATCAACGGCGCGTGGGTCGCCGGCAAGGTCCCGACCGTGCTCGTCATCACCCTCCCCATTGCCGTCGTCCTCTGGGCCATCGGTGTCATCTCCTTTCTTGGCCTGCCCGACTACTACCGCCAGTCCCCCGACACGATCCCCAGCTTCTACATGTCGCTCGTGCGCCGCCACATCGTGCCCTGGTTCTTCTTCTACGTCGTCGTCCAGAACTTCTGGCTCACGACCAACTACGGCCGCAGCTGGGAGTTTCTCCTCTTGTCCCGCGCCCTCCCCTCGTACGCCGCCGTCCTCCTCTCACTCGGCTTTTTCACCCTTCTCTGGGCCGCGGCGCTCTACGCCTTCACCGTCTTCTCCCGCACCCACCCCTGGATCGTCCCCCTCTTCGCCATCGGCCTTGGCGCCCCCCGGTGGGCCCAGATGTTGTGGGGTGTCTCGGGCATCGGCCTCTACCTGCCCTGGACCGGCTCCGCCGTCGCGTCCGCCCTTATCTCGCGCTGCCTGTGGTTCTGGCTCGGCATGCTCGACAACATCCAGGGCGTCGGCATCGGCATGGTCCTGCTCCTGACCCTCACGCGCCAGCACGTCGCCGCCACGCTGCTGGCCGCGCAGGTGCTCGGCGCGAGCTTCACCATCCTCGCGCGCGGGACGGCGCCGCACAAGACGGGCCCGGACGGCGTGTTCCCCGACTTCTCCGAGGGCGCGCTGCGGGGCATAGCGCAGCCGTGGTTCTGGGTGTGCTTGGCCATGCAGTTGGTGCTGCCGGTGGGCTTCTTCAAGTTCTTTAGGAAGGAGCAGGTGGCCAAACCTTGAATTTCGTATTCCCTTGCGATGAATGGATTTGGGAGGGGGGCTACACACGGGCCAAGACGCGTGTACGCATATTGCTTTCTTGGAGTCATGGCGTTGGAGTTGGAGATGGCATCCTTCATATTCGCTCTCGAGCGGGGCAACCATTGGGCTCTTTATTATGAGCTGAGCAAGGAGGATGTTCTCGCATACTTGATGTCTGGGGATGGCGATGAATACGAGGCTTTTTAAGTGAGAAAACTGCAGAAGGAGATCAACTACTTATACTGTTTGCCCATCTTTTCCAGCTGTGATCCTCTTATTTCTACCCGGCTCAGGATAGTCTGGTCTCTTCCTCTTACGTGATGGAGTAGCACTGGTGGAAGCAAGTTGACAGGGTAAGTGACAACGAGATCCGCGCCTTTGGCTCCTTGCGCCCGCTTGTTTGGCAGCGGGGGCACCTGATAGATGAGAGAGAAAGCAATGCTGGGCGTGGTTTCATTGTGGCGAGTGAATGGAATTCCGGAGAGGAGAGACTGTGGTGCGGGAGACTGATTTCTGTTTTCGGAAAGGGCAAGTCGATGTGGGGATGATATTGCTTTTTGTGATGCTTGGCCTCGTTGACGATGTGGCGTATTATGTGACGGCACCCGTCACCCAATTCCGTTCCTTGGCCCTACAACAGGGCCTCCACATCTGCCGCGGCCCCGGCAGTAGTACGGAAGGCGCCGGTGATGGTCTGGACTGCCCGTCTCTGTATCCTCTGGATCGTAGAGTCCATGGCCGCGCCTCGACTGGTAGAGCTGTTGCTGGGGATAAACCACGCGGAGCAGCCATAAAGCATCTGAGGTACGACCATAGCCCTGTACACATGCCGCAGGTTGATTGCTCCGGTGCCACATGTGGAAGAGGCCAAGGCCGAGAGGGCGGAGAGTCGCTGTGTCGCGCTTGCTTCGACCTTCTCACGGTGGTAGTCCCATCGAAGTTTGGTGTCCATTTGGAGACCGGGGTACCGGCATGAGGGCGAAGCCTTGATTGTGGGCGTGGGGCAGCCGAAGGGCGTGTGGGTCTCGGGTGAAATGAACGAGCTCGTATTTTGCCGGGGCAAACTGGGACCCATGCTTCGCTGCCCATTCTTCGGCCTTCCGGTGGACAATCTTGAGAGTTTTGCAGTTGCGTTGTGCCGTTGGTCCTATTGCCAGGATGGACGCATCGTCGATGTAGCCCACCGCTTCCGATTCCTCTGTCTTGCACGTTTCGATGAGGTCCGCGTTGTAGAACAGGTAAAGGATGGGCGAGATGGGTGATCCTTGTGGTATTCCTGTCCGGATGGGTGCCGAAGGGCCTGTGTATTCCTGAAGTTTCAAAGTCGTAGACCGATTACTCAGGAAGGACGCTACCTAGTTTACGATCTTGTAGTCAACCCGCCGCTTCCGGAGGTTGTGGAGTAGACGATCTCGCGAAACGTTGTCATACGCGCCGGACCACGCTTGCTGGATTCGCTGGGTGAGAAAATGCATGGCGTGTTCCGCCGATGTGAGTTTCCGTCCACCTGTGTGCCGGCTGGGGAGGAGGTGGTGAATGTCGGCCAGGTAAGCGAGCCGATTTGCGATGATTGCTTCCAATGCCTCCCCAGAGTGTTGAGGAGCGCGATGGGCCTGTATGCCTTGGGTCGTGTGTAATCGTCCGTCCCTGGCTTCCGGCCACTTACTGTAAGCCACAAGCGTACAGTACCGTACAGTAGGACATCTCTGGGGTTCAGCTGAGGTTCGCTGTAATAAGTCGGAATAGTCTTAACTGTTCCTGTGTTTTGAGCTTCAGAAGTGAGAATGGTGAACGCGGCTCTAACAGCGCTGTCTGGCGCTTCATGTTGCTATTATTAGATCGGGTAAGCGTCTGCAGTCCCAACAGACTGGTTTAGCAACCCCCTGCATACTTCGTGATGCGATATTTATGGCCAGTCAAATGCATGGCATTCCCGACTCATGCCAAGCTTCCACGATCGCAATACCACACCACCCGCGATTACATCTAGATAACAGGAAGTGTGTAGTGGAACTAGTTCTCGATGGCTCGTGCATCGTATCTGGGGAATCGCGGCGACTCGAAGATAAGTCGGGCAATTTGTCTACAAAGTCAGCCCTCCTACATGGTAAGACTCGCGTTGATGACAAGACACCCAGCACCCGGCAGAGACAATCTTCGCAGTGGGAGCCGGGAGCCGGGTTTGAAAATGCAGGACCGTAAGTGAGTTACCATTCAGGGATGCACTTGCTCTCACCGGTGCAGGTAGGATGAACTATTGTGCCGTACGGATACGACAACGTTCGTCTCGTCCGGATCGTAGCACTTGTTTCGCGGCGTCTTCTTCACTAAAAGCTGCTGTAGCTTGGACTTCAGAGTCTGGTCCCCAAAACGCGCCCGGTGCCAGCACGAGGTTCTGCTCTGTATCGTTCGTAAGCTTTGACAGTCTTCCTTTCTTCTGTAACATTTTCCATTCGATGGAGTAATGGATGCACGTGGGTGGGGATTCATCATAGGGCAGGCTAGGGTTCCAGTCGGCCAGCTGAAGGAGTGGCAGTCCCGGTCTCCGACTTTGCGTCTGTTCCTGCGGGGCCGGACTCGCGCTGCGGCTGTCATAGGTGAATTCGGGGGTCGAAGCCGGGATTGTACATCGTGGCGACCGCTTACTGTACTGCAAGGGAGGCGAATCTGGCGACGACGATGACTCGAAAGTGCCCACGACCGACGTGTCAGCGCAACGTGTCAGCGCAACCTGTCAGCGTGCCGAGAAAAGGACACCCGCACCATTTAGCCGAAGATCAACCGCCGCCCACCGCACTCTTGCTCTGCGCACCACCTTTGCAAAGACGTCGCAGAATCGTCAAACCCGCCGCGTCACAACATCGACGTTGAGGGTCAGGCGCCGTAAAAAAAAACTTCCGATTGCTAATTTCCTGAGCTTTGCAGCTACCTCTACATTCCCGGTTCCAAGCGGAAGGGCTTGTCAGGCGACGCAACTGACGAACGTCGACAACGGAATTCCCTCTATCGTTCGCCGCTTCCACGCTCTTGTCCTCGAATCCGATCCTCAGCTATCACAGCCCGCAAGCCCTTCGAGACGCCAAATGCACCCAGCGATTGATACACTGCTTATCCGTGCCGAGATTTAGTAGACCAAGAGACAGTTAACAAGGACACAAAACCTCGAAGCCGACATGAACGGAGATGGTCAAATTTTAGGTCTTCAATCCGTATGTACTTCAGGGAAGCCAGATCCATGGCAGCCACATCAAAACCCGCATTCAGGGAAACTAGATCCAAATCCATGGGTGCTACATCCAGAGAAGGCGGACCATGGCAGCTGCATCCAAAGAAGCTGGATCCATGACAACCCGCATTTGGGGATGCAGATCCATGGCCACCACTGGAAACCCGCATTCAGGAAACCGAGATCCATGCAACCGCATTCAGGGAAACCAAATCCATGGTAGCTACATCCAGGGAAGCCAGCTCCATGGCAGCTGCATCCAGAGAAGCCGGATCCATGACAACCCGCATTTAGGGCTGCAGATCCATGGCTGCCACGGGAAATACCGGTTTCAGGAAAGCCAGATTCATGGCAACCGCATTCAGGGAAACCGGATCCCGACGGCTACATCCAGGGAAAGCTGGGCCCTTGGCAGCCCCACACCCTACGCTCTTACCCCGCGGTCCCCCGCACAGTGCGCTCTTCCCCCTGTCGTGAACCTTGCCCCTCCTGCCCCCCGCCACAGCGAACAGCGCAGGCCATCAGCGTGATGGTAGGTATTGTGCTGAGACATTTCTGGAGTTGGTCGACTCGGCCCCCAGCATTTGCTTTGTTGAGCATAGGAATAACCAATGCGACCCAAAGGAAGATCCCTGCAGATTTTTCGAGAACTTTGTGTCTGAAATCCTCGGCTTGCTTCGAATCTTTGGCTCGCTTTGACTTGGGCAGGCTCAGCTTGCTTTGGATATACAGGGCGATGTCGTCGCTGTGCTCATCTTGGTCCTCTAGTATTAGTTCGAAGCCACACCCAAGTTTGATGAATGGATAGTGGCGACTCGAGAAACATATGCGAAGGCGTATGCTTTTTCCAGCCGCTCGCTCGCCCAGGTCTTCGAAGAAGGATACCATGTCGGCAACGTCGTCATCATGGCACTCGTCCAGGGCGTCAATGAAGACCGACAAGTCCCGGTCACCCAGATAGTCGATGGCCCTTTCTATGGTCTTTTTCAGAGCCTCGTTCTGCCAGCCAGATCTCTTTATGACACGCCAGGCGTTAAAATCGAACTCGTCAAGGACTCGTTGGAGGTCCTTGGCATGTTGAAGCAGCTGCCAGAGCAGGGACCGGTAGACACCCAAGGTGGATTGTTCAAGGTGCTCGCCACGGGCGTTGAAAAAAAATGAGGCGAAGAGACGATTGGGATCTTTAGCAACAGACAATCTGGTCTTTTCCTCGAGGAACTTCATCAGGATCGACTTGCCAGAGCCGGGTTTCCCCTTGATCCACAAGAAGCCATGATGGTCATCAATGTTCTGTAGGTCCAGCCACTGGCGGTATTTCTCATTCCTAAGGAACCATGCGCACGTCTTGTTGAGAGGAGCCTTCAGCGATAGCAACCGAGCACCAATCTCATCAAAGTCCAAAAGGTCCATGAGCTCTTGGCGTTTGGTAAGGACCTCAGCTGCCACTGGCGAGTCGATAGTGGGTACATTTGCGGGTAACGGCTCATTGTTGGGGAACACGTCATCCTCTGCGACACCACTCCGCTGGAGATGTGGCCCGGATGAAACTTGGATATGATCGTAGATGGAGCGCAGTGCGTGTGCGACTTTCTGGTATTCTGGGTCACTGTCGCCGGAGAACCGGACCATGTCCCGGTGATCTTTTCCGATATGGCGTTTAGTTTCGAGTTCAGGATCGCCAATGCAGGAGGATTCATCTTCAACAACCTGGGTAAAGGGAGTCAGCGGCAATTCAAGATTCTTTCTTCCGAGGAGTAGTGTGATCATATCTTTACCTTCTTGCCAAGGCGGCCATCTTCAAATTCTTCCTGAAAGGAGAAGATAGTCCAACGACGGTGCTTTGATAAGATTACAAAGCTGTCTTGGATTGAATTTAAATACTCCCCTCTCTGCAACAATGTCTGTACGATGCTATCATTGTATTGTACCCCGAGTCCCGCCAAGCTCTTGAGTACGCGGTGTGCAATGTTGAGTGGGTCTGCTCCCTGATGGGGAGTGCCAAAGAATAACAAGCCAACTGTCGACTGAGGAATGCTGAGCAGATGAGCCTGGGACTTAAGTTGACCGTGTTCATTGGCTTTGGTCAAGGCAACCTTCGAGAGCAGTCCACCTAGACTGTGGGCGACGAAGACGAGGGGTCGCGAAGGCGCGTCCCGACGGTTGTCGGCCAAGGTACAGAGCAAGTCCCAGCCATGGTCGCCCACGGACTTCTGGCTCACAGGACTGCCACCGAACCTGCTACGGATATTCGTATCGTAGCCGTATGTGAGAACTCGAGAATGGGGAAGTGTAGCCGGGACCAAGTCACGGGCCCAATAGACGCCGTGTGGTTCCTGGAGGGGGTCGGGGTCAAGTTTATCCAGCCCTGTGGGCTGTTGCGGATGTGACGAGAAGATGCGTGCGATTTTGGAAGGTGGAGGTTGGACGTCGCTGGAGCCAGGCACGGGGCGCTTCCTCAGCGGAAGATTTCGCTCAGGGGGGTAGTCGAATGTCCAGGTTCTTTCGGGATGACCGGTGAAGCCGTGGACAAAGAGGATACTGCAGCGGCGACGATTAGCGATGCCAAAATCCGCGGGTGGTTTGGAGGTGGACAAGGTTGGGGACGTGGGACGGCAAGAGGGGCACAGACTCGATAGTGGGGTTCTCAGCCTCATACAGGACGCTAATTCCATGTTCGTTCACTTCGGGACCGGAGATCGAGACATTTTGACGGCTCCTCGTTCCGGTGACGCATAAGTTGGAGGTTGCAAGATGTAAGGTGCAGAACAGCAGCAGGAGGAAGTGACAAGGCTCTGGACGCTGCAGTCGACGCCCAATCGTGGCTGAGCTCACATAGCTAATCGCTTGCCCGACGACCCGCCCGAGTCCACTTGTCGACCGCCACAGCTTGTCAAGCTCTTGGCACGCAACCGCAGTCTTACAGCCAATCAAGTCCGGTGCAGTGGCGGGTACCAGTGTGCCAGATCCCAGACACCAGTCTGATCGCGCCACCTCCGAAAAGCGAAACAGCCACGAGAGTCCCGTTTCGCGATCCTCTGGCAATCCCGATCTCATGACCATAAGATCCCGATACTGCCCCAAACGGAGGGAAGACGGACGTGATCGGAGCCAGGTATCCACCGATGGGTTGTTGCTGTTGTGCCGAGCCGAGCTAACAGCTTGACGCAGTCACCTCCATTCTCTGTTCACCTCGTGAAGGCTGAGGGCAGCGCAAGACCAACGCGACTTATCCTGGCAGCATGCAGGTCCCTACCACCTTGATCCGTCTTGCCGCACCGCCGCCAATGACCTGGCCCCGCCGATATCATCGTCCGGAAACACCTCGCTACAGCCGTCGTAGTTGTCACTGCTCGTGCGTTATCTCGTTTGTCAACCCCGCTTGGTGCCTTGATCGATGGCGGGACGGATGCATCCTTGGAAATCTGCGTGAACTGGGAGGACGTGGACGAGGACGTCTTTTCACGTTTTGCCTAGTTCGCGTATACCGATAACCTACGCGGCTTTTGCGCCTATCGATAAATATGACCCTGCTAGATGTTTTGAAGAAGCCCCGGGGGGATTGACCCTGGGGAATCCCCATCCTCGGCAGCCGATATGACTGTGCAACCGGTAAATGTCAAGGACGCTTTCAAATTGCCCTACTCCTAATGTCCTATAAGATTACTGCAGACCGCACGCACACCTTATTTTGCAAGTATTACGAGCGCAAGCACAGCTGTGGCTCGCGGGCTCGGGACCCGAGTTGAACGCCTTGGCATGCGACTGCAGCGCTAAAGGGGAAGGCAGTCCCTCCAAGAAAAAACAAGACTACATCTCGACGTTCATAGCAAAACAGGGGGACCTTGCATATGCCGGCGACGTCGACGTTTGGCAAAATGTTTGGCAGACCAAGCAGGTTTCCAAAACAACAAAGTCCTTCGAGCATGTGTTCATTGGCCACGCGGGGCTCGGAGCTCTCGTTGAGGTGAAGTCTGGGGTAGGCGCTGACGTCGTCTGCTGGTGGGGGTGCTTCTCGTGATCTGTTAGACCGTAGCCATCTGCGGAACAACATATTACTCTTAATAGTCACATAGCTAGGCCGTAGGAATCAGGCGTCGCAAGGCCAGCGCTGTGGCCAAACCCAGTGCCGCATAGCCTCGCGCAAGCAGACTGCCTCAGCAGTCGAAACGCAACCGGTCGGGCACTGCCGTTCGGACTGTTTCTACCACCTTCCGCAAACCACCCTTTACCGTAAACCTGCCTAGCATACGGAGGAGCTCACCAACTGGCTGCCAGCCACCTCGTGACACACAGGTCAAGGTGCGCAGGTGAAAAGGGCCTCTGCTAGCTAGCGTTATTTCATGAGTTTGTCAGTACCGCAATAGCAGCTGCTCTTCCTGTCAGGTGCCCTGCAAATGTAAAGGTCTGCTAAACCGGTCTGCTCGGCCGACCTCAGAATAGCAACAAAAAGAATCATTTGTCAAGTTCCACATATCGTCTCATTCACGGTGAATCTACTGCTGGGTCTACTGGCATACCTACTAGTAGAAACGTCCAGAGAGCATTTAAGAATTGGAATTTGAGAATGAATCTACCAGTAGATCTACTGGTAGGTGAGTCACGGAAAGCATCCAGGAAAAGGGATTTAAGAATGGAATCTACCAGTAGATCTACTGGTAGGTGAGTCACGGAAAGCATTTAGGAAAATGGATTAAGAAATCTACCAGTAGATCTACGGTACATTTTAGTCTGCGGGAAATGAATATACAGAAGGAGGTCGTGAACGTATCAACGATACCAAGCGACAAAGACGAGCTATTCTCATACCATGCCGACGGGGTTGTCGCTGCCGCTATTTCCCAGATATATCACTACATGATCATTGGCGGTCTTGCGTACAGCTATGTTACAACTGGCGAGGCAATCATCTTCTTGAACTGGGCGTGTTAGCTTGAGGAAAATTGCTCTGATCTCTAACAAACGTATGCTTGGGGGAGAACGAATAATCACCGCTATCATAGTTCAATTATTACTGTACGATGAGGCTAGTTTTGATCGAAAGTCTGCTGACAAAATGGTTTGCGCATTCTTCGTACGAGACTAGGGGCCCTAGAATTTCTTGGATTTGGTAAACTCCCGGTGTTTTGTGCCCTCAACTGCCGTTGGCCTCTCGCCCGCCATCCCTCTGCCTCCAGCCACCTTAGCAATGCTCAATCGTAAAGGGAACACCAAGCACAGCCCTAATGTGCGAGATAAAGAGCTCGCAGTCGCTGCAGATGGCCCGGCTGACTCGTATGGTTGCCCACACTGTGGGAATCCTAGGGCATAGAGCCGCGAGATGCTGCAGTTTGAGATCCTGCTGCATCCACTCCCCTAGCTGGTCGACGGCGACGCCTCCAAAGAACACGCTCGGAAGAATGACGTGCTGATTAATGTAGTAGGCCACGAGCTTCTTCTCGGCATGCGACGCATTATTTGTGCCCGGCCGCCTCAGCTCATCCCGAGCGTCCTCAGGCAGGGTGTATCCAATCAGTTGGCACAGCTCGAGGACGTTGTCTCGCCAGACGCGGTTGTCGAGGACGTGTTCGACGGCAAAGTCAGTGCGCCAACCGCTGGCGGCACTCACGACTGGAAACAGCCTGCCACGGTCAAGGCGCGCCACCGTCTTGTACCCATCCGGGACGTCGTAAGCGATGCTCTGCTCGTAGAAACCGATCTGGATGCCCCAGTCGGTGGTCTTCGTGATAAAGTGACCATGCTTGATCTCATTAGACGAGCCTAAGATCGCTGTTCCCTCGGCCGCCGTGACGGGCTCAAAGGCCTGGAGCTTGACAACGATGATCCTGCGGTTGGCCTCGGCTTCGCCACTCTCTTGGTAGTGACCGGACTCTTCTCGCATCCTCGCGGTCCTCCTCGAGGGTCTCGCGTAAAAGTAGGCGCCGCGCCCCTTGCGGTCCTTTGCGCGCGGATTGGCGCCGTGCTCGAGCAGAAAGTTCACGACCTTCAGCCGCCCCCAGAGCGCGGCCTCCATCAGCGGCGTCCGTCCGCGACTGTCGGCATTGTTGAGGTCGCCGCCCTTGTCGCGGAGTAACTGGATCATCTGATCATGGCCTTCGACTGCGGCCAGGGCGATGCAGTTGACGCCGTCCCTGTTTCTCCGGCTGACGAACGGATCATCCTTGTACGTCTCTAGCAGGGACGCGACTCCGCGCAAATTGTTAAGGATACAATGCGAATCGAAGAGACTCTGTCGATAACACGCATCCTGCATAAGCTCTCCCAAAATCTTATCGAACGAGGGGGGCTTTAGTGTTTCCGCATCGCCGATGCTAAGCCGCTCGACTTGGTCCTCGAGCGTTTGCAGCTGATCACGGTTGCTGTCGCTTCGCTCTGCTTGTAGGCTTCGGAGATCTCTGTTGGCTTCTTCGGCTTCCTCGCCCTCGCCCTCGTCATCGTCTTCCTCACTTTTCTCGTCCTTGCTCTCCTCGTCCTCGCTCTCCTCGTCCTCGCTCTCCTCGTCCTCGTCGTCACTAGGCAACTCGACGCCGACAGTCACGAAGAGGCCCCTTGCCTTGTCGATTCTGTAGGAGTATTGCGCTTGAGACTGCTCTTCGAACGGGTAGCATAGCTGGTAGTTCCCTGAATCTAGACCGCAGTGTGCCACCCGATTCCGGCCTGTCAGTGGAAATCCGCCGAGGCCATGACGATGGCGCCCAAGGCAGTAGGGACAGATGACGCGCAAGGTCTCGCTCCCCCACTCTGTGACAAGCGCCAGGGGAGTCTGGCGCCCTCTGCTGTCGAGGATGCCGTTTGAAAGGGGTGGTTTGTGTGCCGTCATTATAGGCGATGGTGTCCTTCAGCTGGAACTTAGTTTATCTGTGCGGATTCTCATCAGTAGTATTGCCTCCGATTGTGTCGAGGACGATTACTCCACGATTGAGACATGGATGTTGCGTGACCCCGCCACTGCTCGTCAGGTCTCAACTCATCGTCGGTCTTACGTTTTCCCGAAACCGTCAGTTAGGCAGCAAGCCGGCGGGCAGCTGCATCTGACGGCCAAACCTGCGTGTCCAACGACTCCTTCACACCAGGCGGATTGAATCCTGATGCGCGTACTCCGCCGGACTAGTGTACGTATTGCCTTTGACGACGCGCACCATCGAGCCTTGCGTAGTCGACCTTGTGAGATTCCTTTGCGAGTGCCAGAATAGTGGTTGTGCGCCGATTAAGCTCCGACTGTGGAAATACCATCAGCTATTGGAGGCACAGTGGGGTTAAATAGCCAGTTTCTGCTCCTGTTAGGAATTGCTCCCTTGGTACATCCCCGCTACAGTGCATCCTGCTAAGCCACACAAGCCACAGGCTTACCCCGCAGTCGCTAAAAAAGTTAACTAAAACTCCAGCGACACCCATTTCGCCTTCTACTTGTACGGCGACAAAACTCAGCATCATGCTCAGCCGATAGAAAGTAGCTTTATGCGAAACCTTGGGGCAGAGGCTTTTACTCGGCTACAACTAGTGTTCCTCCAATTTGCATGTGAATGCCCCCCCATGATTTCTCTCGACTTCCGACCAGAGTCATATCGGGATTATATAAATGTCCCTAGAATCGTCCCTCAACGCCATCCCATCCTGCTGAGATGTTAAGAAAATCCCCGATTTCCGTCGGATAACCAGACCTTCTTATCCTCGGCGCAGCGACGGCTTTCAAGCGAACGACTGTTCCCTCGGCCTACATTTGAAACAAAACTGTCGCAAGTGGGTTCTGACACAGCATGGATGGACTGGGGAAGCTGGAGAGCCTAGCAGGGAGGGTGACAATGGATCTAGCGGACGGTCCAAGTAAAGACGTTCCGATAGTATTTGGTACACATTCGGGCTGCAAAGGGCCTTTTGAAAGATCGCAAGATAATAACAAACAAGCAAAACGCGGCCTCTGAGTAACTACTCTCGACCGAGCACCTTCCCCTTTCAGCCGTACTCCGCTAGATCCAGTGCCAAGAGGTGCCCGTTGCGGCATTTTGTGAGTTAGACGTGCTGGACTTTTGAGTGAAGGTGGGAGGGCGGGCTTGCAAATTTCCATCACACTTTCATGGTCATTATCACCCCCGGGTAAATAAGTGTCTCCTCCTAACTTGGGAAGAGGTAATGCACCCTGCAAGCCTTACTACTGTAAGCCACGGAATAAGGTTCTACCTCTTTCACGTGGGCGACTGGTCAAGTAGAGTAATTCAAATATACAGACTGGGCTAGAGCTCAATGTTCTCGTGATGGTTACACAAAATCATGGTTCTTATTCTTCTTCAAAACCATGCATATATATCAACATCAACACCTCTCGAAAGCGCTGGCCGACGCCTTTAGAGATCAGATGTGTTAATTCATGTCTTCGTAAGTTGTGCAATACGCTCACGGCCAGGTACAGTACTTGTCGACTTTTCGAACAAGAATTTATCCTGCGAATGGATTCCTCGAAGCGTATCGAGGTACGTGACACCCTTGACAAACTTATCCAGCTTTCTATCTCTGGTCAATCGAGCCCACTACAGGACATTCATACACGACATCTATATTTAACGACGGACGAGCTCTGCGAGAAGCTTCAAGAACAAAAACTTACAACAATCGCGTTTCCTCCTGTCATATGTCAGGGCCGTATCCACCTCGCATATGTCGATACGGAAAAGCGATGCATTAGATACAGCGGAGTGATGACCGCGGAGAGTGTAAGATGCCATAAGGACTTCAACCATCCAAGCCTTGAGGACTTGAGAGGGCTTGAGTATTTTCTTGACACAGCGATCTCCTTTGCGGAGTGTCACTGGGGTGCCGAATTGCGTTCATCGCCAACAGACCTCTATCGATATCCGAACAATTATTGGGAGGTTTCGGGTAATGGATGGACGTACAGAAGTACATCTACATGCGAACAGATGGAATTCTTCAAACGGGGCTACGCAAAAAATGAGAAACCATTCCGGATATAACAACAATCTGTATAAGAACGGGACATAGTAGCACTGTATTCTAGCAGAGCAAATAGCGCCAAGGACTATGTGTTCGAAGCCACCCCTTTACCGTGTACAAATAGGCTTCCTAAGTCGTTTTCGAGGTTTGGCGATCTTGTTTTTCCGATAACTACTAGTGCTCTTGAACTCACCTTCCTTCTTCGCGAAGGGTTCCAAGCGCCATTCCCATACTTTTTTGCCTCCTTGTCTCTTTGATGGCTGACGCAGGTACGATGAGAATGCCTAAGTAAAGAGTTAAGTAGCTAGTATTTTCACAGATTCAGTTCGATGTGGAAGACATCGACTACTAACCATGTTTAAGCTGAGATTGTGACGCACACTCCCACGCCAGTTTTGGCTCATGTAAGCTACTTTCGTAGTGTTCTTCTCTAGCCATGCGTAGATCTCTTGAACTGTCATGCCTAGCCCATCCCCTGTTGTACTTAGGAGAGCGCGGCGGATAAGCTTTGCATACGAGACTGTACCATTATGCTCAGGTGTCGTAGCCTCTACATCCAACCCAAGAGTAACAAATTTTAGAAATTCTATCACGTCATAGATAAATTCAGTATTCCAACACTCGCCATTATCGACCTTATACAGCTCTCCTTGCCTTCTATCACTTCCTTCGCCAGTATACATAATAGCCTCTTCAAGGATGGATGACGAAGTACCACAGTGTACTGTACCACATCGTTAGTATCAAAAGAACTTTCAAATCTGTAAGTGCCGTCATTGCTGAAGCCGCCGAGAGACTGGGTTGGAGTTGAAGAGACAATAGGCCAGACACTAGTCAGTGGTATAAAATGAATCCCATTCGTTTCTGCTGATAAAATCTCTGTACGCGGCTGCGGCGGCTGATCGCAGCATGGTGCAGACCAAGGAAAATTCCGCCCAGTAGTCGGGTTGACACAGCTAGTACAAGCTTGACACTCTAAGATGCCCGTCCCAAACTGGAGGTACATGTCAACGGTACAGGTCCTCTTCGTTGATTCTCTCCGTTATGCTTCCCAGTGACCCTCAAGGACCAGCAAACATAGAATTGACTACATAGGGAAGAGCCGCACTTAAGCTTTAAGGACTAATGTAGCCATCTCAGAACCCTAATCTTGTTTCATTACAGATTGGCTTGAACGTGAACGCATCATCAACACTGCGGGCTCGACGGGGCGCCATAATGGGTGGATTCAGGTCATCTCTGCAGGTTTGTTACACAAATGGTAGTGGGTCAAAGCGAGGCCTTGTTTGTCTGTTACCAAACGAGCGAACAACCAACACATCGTACAGAAACAATCACTGAGATCGGCAGATTCCTCATCTGCCCCAGGACACTTGATTGTTGTCACTAGTTCCACAATTTTATCACTGCAGTATTAGTTGAGCGGATGTTCGAGCTGGTTCGCCTTGGCTTGTCTCGTTCATCAGTTAGAAGCTAGACCAAGGTATAAAGCTCTGTGTTATGTCTAACATCTGTGCAATGTGTAAAAGGTGCAACAGCTCTATAAAACTAGATCTTTTGCAAGGACTAGAGACAGATAACCAGCTAACCACGCCTTGAGTGTCTTGATGTAGAGTGTCTTCACACTAAACAAGTTGAGCAGGCGGGATTTCCTATCGAGAAGCATGTTCCACGCGGTATTGCGTTCCAATGCGTAGAGAAGGTCAAGACGTGGCTAGAACAGGTCTAGGGCCAAACTATTATATAAATACAAATTCTACTTCTAATGAAAATAGTAAGGTCAGTTCTTTTGCCGCAAGCTGACTCGTCGATGATTTGAACGCGGAGGCTCTATACATATAAAAGCCCCGTAACTCTGAGTCCCGTTGCTGGATCGACTTTATAGGTCTTGATATCGTGGTCAGTGACACTTCGATGCCGAATTTATCGTAAAAGAACTTTATCATTTCGACTCAGTATTGTGACCGTGCAGGGTGGCAGCAACCAGATCAGGTGGTTCCAGGTGCCAGGGTACTTAAATTCCTTAGAGGTCGTGGTGGTTTTTCTTGTACATAGACATCATCAAACACAGACAGCACCTTGAAGGTGGCAGCGACTGCTTTTTCGTATCCTCGTCAATTCGATTGATTTTCTCCCCATTTTTGGTCCCCATTTTTGGTCCCCATTTTTGGTCCCCATTTTTGGTCCCCAATTGAGGAACACGGTGATCATTCCATTCCTCCCAATTGCATCCCACTAAATACCTTGGTGGTGGTGCTGGCTCTCCCATTGTCAAAAGGCGCCTTCGGTGCCTGATGGCCTGCGATACCTTCACCGCGGACCACCCATCAGCTGCGGTAACACCGCCGCAACTGGGCAGCACTTGGTGGTCATCTGGTTATGGTAGGCGGACTACTATGATCACCGGATCCCACTTGCCCCAGGACAGTATATAGACGGTTTTTTCGCCAGCTCCTCGTGGAGCGCAGCTCGCATGAAAGGGTCAATCTTGCTGCGGCGGCCAACACGGGTCGGGGGCGACACCGCAGTTCCGAA